CAATCATATTGATTTGCAAGGACTTCTTTGAAGTGACTTTGCTGGACTTTTTGAAGGGCTCTTGGTTGGACTTCTTGAAGGGTTCTTGGCTGAAGTCTTCTCAGAAGTCTTGGCTGCAGCTTTTTTTGGAGTCTTGTCTGTTTTCTTAAAGTGTCCAAGGAAGTTTGGACAGATGTTCTCCAGGGAGATGAGCAACGCAGCGAACTTGTTTGCTGGCGTAGCGTCACATCGGATCAAGCATTGTAAAGTCAAAACTGACATCATAAAGTTGAAACAGGGTGTCAAGTTATAAATGTTGTAAGTGCGAAACGTAACTCGAAACGTTCTAAATCGAGGACTGCCTGTACGCAGTTTGGCAAGTCTGTATTAGAACACAGAACTCTAGACCAGAAAAGATGCAAAGAAGAAGGAGCTTGCTGCAAAGCAAGCAAGATGCAATATTTTTCTTGAAGTCTCAGAAGGAAATGGCATTCTTCCTTTGCTAGAATAAAATGCTGATTATTGCAACTGTATTATTAAGCTGTCTGTGTGTTATACACCAAAAGTGGGCACACTCTCAAAACAGGATAAAAAGATGTGTGATTATAAGTTTGCAAAGTACTCAGGGACCAGTCAGGATGAAAAATTTTATATAAAACGTAAAGTAGCATGTAGAGCTGTGCCAAGAAAGGAAAGTCTGCTAAATGTGAATTATGAATGTTGTGTTTCCCTATCTGCATTACTTCAATAACTTTGCATGATGGACCTTCTCCGACTAGATCATTTGTAATAACTAAACAAGATTAAAACACACAAGGAAGTCAGTTACCTGCGCTATAGATTGAATAGATTCTCCTCTTTGAATTACATCAAGCACAAAAGGCAAAAAAAATTAAACAGACCCATCAGTACTTTTGACTGGATATTACATTTCAGTTGGTGATTTGCCATAATAATGAATCACCCTCAAAAGAATCTGTCCAAGAAATTAAGTAAACAGGCATCTGAGAATGTGATCAAGAAACATCTGTCACTGAACTAAACATCTCAAAGGAAATTGCCCCGTTCAGCAGTTTCTGCCACATCTATTTCTATGTTTGGACTGATGGAAGAAATGACAGACTGCAAATGCTGAATGTACAAGAAACAAGATCATGTAAGTCACTGTAAGGCAAGTAAGCACTAAATAATCTCACAGATTTCCCAATAGAGCAAGCTCTAAAAGAATGCACAGCTTTGTGAAGTGGGAAGAAGAAGCAATCTCAAAGCATTTTGGTGGAAATCATTCTGCTTCCTTTTCCATTGCCTGTGTGACTCAACAAGTTAAAAGTTTAACTGAATTCCAGGCATGTTATGGTTAACCAAGTGAATTGGACTGATGAATCTTCTAAAGCAGTGGTTGTCAACCGAGGGTACACATACCCCTAGGGGTACTTAAAAGAGTTATAGGGAGTACGCAGAACTGATGTGGCTGATAATTGCTGTGTGCATGCGCGCAGCCCAGCCATATAGAGAGCAGCCAGATCTGGCTGGTAAGTCTGTTGTGGGGGAGGGAGTGGGGCAGGTGCTGCCCAGCTGGGGCAGAGTGCAGGATGCAGCCATGAGCAACTCGTACAGAGGGCATAGCAGTTCCCGCTGCTGCGTGCACCCTGGGAGAGCATGGGGCAGGGGGGTGCATGCACGGGGTGGGGTGGGGGCCCTCAGTCAGCCCCCTGCCTTAAAAACAAGAAAAAATAAAGGGTACATGTGCTGAAACTTTGAGACAGAAGGGGTACACTTGTTAAATAGGTGAAACCCCCTGTTCTAAAGACCCCAAGGTTAGAAAATTGCAGTTGACAAGGAAATCAAGATATAACAAACATCTAGAGTAGAAAATGGGGAGGATAGTCTACAATCAATCGCTCATTTTCATTGTCTTTTGCCTGTGTCACTCAACAAGTTAAAAATTGCCAAGCACAGAAGAGTTTACTAGAAGTTTAAATGCACAGTGCATTTTTTAACTTATTTTTTTCTTGAAAATTTAAAGAAAACAAACTTTTTAAAATCTAGTAATACTTTTACTCTGGCTAGGAGCCTTCTCTGAACGGTTTTACCACCTTTTATACACAGTGTGCCATGTTACCCAAAGGTTTTACAAAAGAATTAATAAGAGATTCAATTGAGATGGGTCCCTAGGCTGCACACAAAAACAGCGACCATCCTTGTCCCAAAGATCTTAAAATCTAAAGTCAGAATAGACAAAGGGAGGAAGAAGAAAGTTTTAGCACCAATTTACAAACAAGGCAATGCACAATTACGAATAAAATTTGAAAAAGCACTTAAGTCCTTTTTTTCAAAAGTGACAATTGAGCTTTAAATTTGAACGTGAGCTTTAAATTTGCACCCCCCCTGCAAGCACCGGCTGATCATTGCAGCTGCTCCCAGAAGTGGCCACAGCCACTCCCGGAAGCAGCTTCCGAGATCTGCAATGGGGAAACTCCCCCTGGGCAGTGAGATCTGCCACGGGAGAACCCCTCCCCCCACGGGTCCCTTCACCCCTGACTAAGGCAGCACGATTCGCCTGTGGTCCAGGAATTATGTGAGAGGCAAAGATTTTTGGGGGTATCTTTTATTGGACCAACTGCATGGTTGGAATAGTTAGACAAGCTTTCAAATCCAAGTATTCTTCATCAGGAGAGCCCCGAGTTTCTCTCCAGTGCTGCCACTTGCCCCAAGGAACAGAGCAAGGTTACTCTGAGATAGCTTCCTACCCAGTCAGCTTCAACTCCCTTACTGGACCTGGCAGCAACAGTAAAGAAATGTCAGCTCCAGGTGCCTCCTGCTTTAGGGTAGGAAAGAAAATTGGGGGACAGTGATTCGATCTGTTGATTTGGATCATTGTCCCGATTCAATTCAGTCGAATCCGAATCTGAAGATTCAATGCCAATTCAGAGAATCAGCAATTTGGCCACAGACACAGCTTTAAATGTTTTTTCTACATAATTTGAGGTACCAGGCACAGCTCACGAAAGCTAAGATGGTGGGGTGGATGGAGTGTCCCACAGAAGCACAGCAGGGGGCCCTGTGTGCTCAGCGGCAGACCCGGAAGTGGACCAGAAGTACTTCCAGTCCACTTCCAGGTCTGCCAGGTCTCCCCACCCCAGCTCAGCAATTAGCCGTGGGGGGACCCTGGGTGCCCCCCCAGACCCAGGAAGCACCGCTAGGTGCAAGCTTTCCCCTGTGCCGACTTGCGTCCGGCCAGTAATTCCAGTTGATAGAATTCCCGGTTACTTAAATGCCAGATAAAGATTTTACTGTGATTTTTATTTGCTCTTTTCTGGATTCTCCATGTAGTTCAGCTCTCGTGTGCTCAAAACTGAACACAGTGCTTCTGTTAAGGCTGGTTGGGGGGAGGGTACAGATGAGTTTGTCATGCCCAGTCTAAACTGCTCTTAAAAACACCCAAGGAGGGTGTTCCGCAATCTGTGTAGGTAATTTGCAACTTGTCCAGCTTCTCTTTAATAAAGCCATACATAGGGGGACTGGCAATAATATAGTAGTAGTTCTCTGTGTTTTTCCTTATTCTGTTTCTTCCTTTGGATCATTTTGATTTTTGTAGCTGTGACAACTTAAGAACACTTTGAATCGGTGCCAAGTGCATAGAAAAGCAGGAAAAAATGTTTTGGAATAGCTTGACCACCACAATGTAGAGATGTATGCCATTAGGATAATCTAGCCTACAAATTGGCAGGAATAGTCCCCTGAGAATATCTTCCTCCCTAGCTACTATGGAGCTAACAAAAGGCTCATTCCTAGCCCCCTGCCAAGGTGGTATATTGGCAGCATAGCACATCTTTTTACAATATAACTGCAAAAAGTGAGAGTTCAAAATAGATAAGTGACCTTCACTTTGTAGAATATTTTGGGGCTTTCCAGTACTCTTATTATCTTGAATTATATTGCAAATTAGATACATGACTGCTGGCAAAAAGCTGAAGCCATATACACTAAACTCCAAAAGCAGAGATTTTTTTTTCCTTTACAGAGGAAAGCAATAACCCTTATTCTTTTTAGGTAGCCAAGTAAAATTTTTCACTTCATTTTGGATCAACAGGAGTAAGAGATACGTATAAGATATGTCAGAGTTTTGCTTAAGTGTGGCCCAAACAACTAAGACTCAATTGTACAAGGAAAAAAGTGAAATGGTATAATTAACATTTCAGAAGTCAATATCACAAAACAAAAAACCTATCTAACTCCTGTTTTGTTTTGTTTTGATCACTTTCTTCCACAGAACCATCATATGAAAATAAAGGTCTTTCAAATGTACATGTTTCTTTCTCAAGCATGGATACAGGCTTCTTGGTAAGTTCTGCAGTGGTCATCGTCTTGCTGTCATACAAGCTTGCTTTACACGTTTCCCTTCAGCAAGCCGTTACATTTCAGACTGACAGAAGAGATAAAGGTTTGCTACTACTACCAAGTAAAGTATACACCTGGTATTTGAAACTAACCACTTAAAAAAGAAGCTTAGACAACGCTCTCCCCCTACAAAAATGATTCCCTCAGAGCTAGCAACTTAAAAGCAAACACTGAACTAGTATTTCAGGAAAGGAAGACGTGGGAACACTTTTTGAATACTGCCCAGCATTCACTTAAATCCTGAATTTAGCTAGGTTCCCAAAACAGATAGAAGACATCTTTCTGACTCTGAAGTGGTGAGTTACTTCCTCTAAGAGCAATGTTAATTATTCAACCTCTGGCTTTGACTGTGATAGTCAACTGCAAAAGTGGTTTGCGATACCTTCAATGAATATGTAGGAACTACATTATAATTACCAAATGATTCACAAAGATCATATAGTCTATTTATTGTTAGCTGGAAGTTTGGCCTTATTTAAACACAATTTAAAATGCAATGAACTCAGTATCTTATTAGGAGTAGTAACCTCTCACACTCTCCATTTTCTGTTGCAGTCTCTTAGAAAAAAATCACTCCCAGTGTGAAAATAAAAACAACAAGAAGAAATAGCACACATCTCTGTTTTGAGAAAAGGATGCTTTTTATTACTGTAATTCAGCAGTGGCAGAAACACCTTTTTAGTCATAAAATAACCCTGACAAAAAACAGTACTGAGTTATTTACTGTTTCTAGCCAACACTATACTTGAATTTATGAGGTAATATCTATGTCAAATATGATTACTATAACCAAAAATATGGCACAGTAATCCTTAATGCTATTTTGAATGCACACAATTCAACCTAAAACTTTCTAACCTGAGTGATTGTACTTCCATTTTTCTACTATAACAAATACATTAGCGTGCATATATTTCTTGAAAGTTGTTCATAGTATTTGCCTACAAAAAGAAAGGTTTTTTTTTTAGAAAGGCTGAAGAGAAGAAAAGTATAACAAGAGAGTATTTCTGAGGCACTGTAAATACATACCCAAAATAAACTGAATAGGAAAGTTTCATCATTACTGGATTCTGATAAGTAAGGCAAACAAATATCATAGTATGATATATCCTTGTAAAAATATATTTTGCTCACATAAGTAGGCTTTTGAAGACAAGTATCTTACAGACAATATGCAAGTAGTAATTCTGCAGCTGCAATATGAAAGATTTTTCTAACATAATCACAGTTTAATTTGTAAGCATATGGTATGACTTAGCAGAGCATAAAAATTCATCTATACTTCATTTTAAATGTTCTGAAAGTGCAAGTGTCCAGAACCCAGAAGCTCTAAAACCTTGAAGAAAATGAAACCTACTATTTTTTAGACCACATGCAGCAGAATGTAACCCCTGAGAAAAAAAGAATAGTAGCTTTACTGACTATTTCAATACATGTTCTTCATTTAAGATTCATAACTGCTTATACCAAATTAAATAACAAAACTGCAATTTACTTTAATGGGCGAAAGTTTGGAATATTATAAAGTTGGAGAAATTCTAAGGAAGTCTAGTATTTTAAGTTTTAATTTTTAATGTTGTCACTAACAATGAGAAGATCCCTAAAGTCTTCTGATACTTATATGATTTAATTGTGAAGACTTCTGACAGGTAAAATATGCTCAGAAAAACACCATTTTAGAAGGCCAAAGATATGCTTTAAAAAATAACAACTTTGTAAGCCACAAGGAGGAAGAAAACTCAGTTATATGAGAGAATGTACAGAAAACACAAAAGTTTGTGAAAGAAATGTTCTTATACTTCTTCCACTTAAAAATATATTAACAATCTCTTTCTTTAATGAGGATATTGAGAGAGATTTTCAATTCCAGACCAATTTATAGAAATGTCTTTAAGCTTTAAACTTGCTAATGTGCTCTCGGGCTATGATTAGCCTTTGGATCTGAGCTGTTCCTTCATAGATCTGAAAAGAAAAAAAATTAACAATATTAAACTATTGTTACATAGCTTTTAAAAATGCAGAAAAATCTATTCAGACACAGCATACAGAAAAATCTAAAAAAGCACAAACAGGTTAAATCTTTAATCCTGTCTGGGACCATAGATGAAAAGTAAGGAGATAAAAAAAAAAAGACTTGAAAACAATAATAGTGAAACTGGACAACAACAGGCTAAGTGGAAGGAATTATTTACAAGAACACCGAAAATCACTTTCCCTGTCTCTTGGCCACTGTAAATTCAATGAAGATCATATAAAAAAAAAGAAAGAAAAAAATGGGTAGACCTCTATTTCCTTTGTGAACCTAAAATGGCAGTTTTTCTAGCTGTGTACATGGATGGTTGTTATAGGCCCTGCTTCTGTGCTGTGGATATGTAAGTATGCATGTGCAGACTTGAGCACGCTCAGTAGGTTATGTAGTGGTCAGGAATATCCTGAGTATCTGAACCCAGGCCTCTGGCTTTCTGGGCCAATGCTCTAACCACTGAGCTGTAGGGGCTAAAACACAGGAGAGCCCTCTTCCTTCTCTTTTGGCATTTAACACTCAATAGTCATGGGTTTTGTGCTGGCTATGTTTTTGCATTTAGATGCAGTTATGCATCCAGAATGAGACCAGGTACATGACATACCTGCCAGGCCAGTTTGTAGCCTGCTGAGCATGCTCAGTCGGGGTGGGCACATTTACTCACCCACGGTACAAGGGAAGCAAAGTTAAAAACTTTATTAGTGAATGTTAAAAATCGTAGTTAGTTACGTGGCTTTGTAGAGAATGAAGAAGATACAGGATCCTAGCATGGTGGCTACATGGTACATAGTTGGTGTAAGCTGAAACACTTTAAAATATGCATTTGGTCATGCAGCCTATATTAGCCCGGGCCTATATTAGCCCGGGGTGGGGGGGGGAAACATTACAGTGCATCGCTGTGAGGAGGATACAGGACCCTACACATGACAACTGTAATGGTGCAGAGTTGTGAGTTGGCAAGATGCACTCAGGTACAGGTTTTAACAAGTCACTTGCACAACCAGAAAGCTGCCATTCAGCATTACACACAAATGCATTTTGTTCAGCCTGTAAAATTGAGTTTGAGAACAGCCACGTAGATAAAAGGAAACTGCTTATGGTAGAAGCTTCAGTACCTCTGTATCTACATTTCCTTAAACCTCAATTTTCCATCATCGCTCTCCCTTCTTACTTACCCTCTTTGTCACCTTCTGTTATTCCATTTTTCTCCATTTCCTTTTGTTTGCTATGACCCAGCCCCACACCACTATTCCAGTGTTCATGCCACATTCTCATATATTCCCTCCCACCTTTTCTCTTATTATTTTCCATTACTCCTGTGTTCTAATCAGTGTGCCGGCAGGAAAACAAAAACACAACTACAAAATATAAACTAAGGTTTCAGTGTTAATGCAGACATCTGTATTATGGTCTCTGTCCTTTTCAAGTACACTAAAACTGAGAGGAATGTATGGTTTAGTAATTAAGGCCAGCCCTGGGAGTTCGGACTTTGGTTCCAAACTCCTTCAAAGGCTTGCACAAATTTGGCAACTTGCTTAAGGTTACACGGGCTCAATTTCTCTACTTTTATAATAAGGTGCTGCTAGGTTCTCTGATCAAAGACACTACAAAGTATCATCAGAACACTGAAACTTTTAAGTCTTGTTAAGGTTCACAAGGACTTCAGTTTGAAAGCAACTGGAACCAGCTTTAGGCTCTTAAGAATTTTCTGCACTTTAAGCACAAAGGCCATTTTCAAAAAATGAAGTTGCATAGACAGAGCTTCTAAGATCAGGATCATTGTTGCTCAGATGTGTAGTTTAAATTAAACTGAGAACAGAACGTGGTGAAAGGATTATACCAGAACACCATATGGGAGAATGTACCTAATACTGAGTACAATCAAATACAGAAATAAAAGAGTAGGAGGAAAAGAAAAATGTTCAGTTATGAAGCATATGGTCAGCAAGTATATACCATAGGATGAGGCAGTAATAAAGAAAGGCTGACAATGACGTGTAAAATATAATCAAAGACAAGAAGCACATAAAATACCATATCCATGTATCCAAGAGTGGAATACTTCCTTTTAAAATGAAAGTGGATAAAAGCGGTATGTCATTTAAAGATTGTTTCCTCAATCTGTAAACAAACGTGGTGGATCATCTTTTTCCTTAAGCTACACAAAAAATAAAGGTATTCCCACCTACTCCCCAGCCAGAAGCGTGACTGGATAAAATTGTTAGAAAATGAATTACACCACAGCTGGTGAGTAATTGATGTCTGAAGAATTAAAACTCTTGAGACCACATTCAGAAGGATGCTGTAAAGAAATTCTTTCTATTACCGGGGGGGGGGGGTCAATACAAAGTTAAATAATTAAGCATGTTGCAAGCATTTATAAATAATGAAGCATGTTGCAAGCATTTATAACAGAAAATCAATCAAAACCACAAAAGAAAATATTTTCAGGATTTAAAAAGAAGCCGAAGTCAACCAACAAATAAATGGAAAAAAGTGTTGCTTGAAATGAGGTTAGTAGGAATAACCTTAAAACCAGTAAGACCCAAAGATGACTACAGACAAGTTGGAGCACCTGTCTGATTATTGACCTTCCTTTTGAGTCCAATAGAGATTTGATAACAAAAAATCCAAGTCTCTGGGTGGAAGACTTAATACTACAAATTCTTACAAAATAACTTTGAAATCAGAAAGTCCCAGTCATTTTGGATAATAGCAAAATTAAATAAATTCCCAGAATCTGATCCCTTTTAAAAGCATCAAGTCATATGTGAATGCATTCCTCAAATATAACAGGAATTGCTAATATAAAAATATATTGCAAAAAATTAATACCACTTGTATAAATAAAACAAAACCATATCACAAATCCAAGGCACCCTGAGTACACAATTAAAAAATCTGAGGAGACAATGACAGAGGTGGAGCTGCTTTGCAGTAATTTATGAATATCTATCTATGTTGATCCGATTAATGTCAAAGCTTCCTTCATAAGTGCAAACTCTCTTCAGAATGTCAGAAATTCTAACCAGTGAAAAAACAGCCCATGAACAGGAGTGTATACACATTCCAGCTCTCCAGGCAAAAGACAAAAATAGGGCTGTTTGCTGGCCCACTTCTGCTGTTAGGAGAGCCCATTACTTGACAGCCTGTCCTCTCCCCTGCCCGAGAAGGGGGCAGGTTATCAAGACAGCCCACAAGTTTTTAAATTGCCATGTGTACAGCCCAGATGGGTTGCATACATGGTGATTTAAAGCCAGATGCGTAGGGAAGCAGGGGTGGGGAGAGCTTCCCCAGTCCCAGTTCCTGCTTCTTGATATTTCATACAGGTTGGATATAGAATAGAGCTCACAGATAAAACTTGAAAACAGCAAATCTGGGAGGGGTTGCAAGAATTTTGGAAGACAGGGTAAAAATTGAAATTAAATCGATAAATTGAAAAAGGGTCTAAAAACAACAAGATGAAATTCGGTAAAGAAAAGTGCAAAGCACTACAGTTCAAATAGTTTCTCTCTTTTAAACTTGTGTATCTATGCCCCCAGATAACAGGTGAATTATTTTAAGTCTGTTTTTCATATTCAGCAGTCTATTTTTTAAGTTAGTAACCATTACTTGTGTTTATACACTTAAGTTGACTTGTATAGGGTTATTTTAATGATTTGCTTTACTTACCTGGTAGATTTTGGCATCTCTCATTAGTTTTTCTACTGGATATTCACTATTAAATCCATTTCCTCCAAAAATCTGGACTGCATCTGAAGCTACTTGGTTTGCAATGTCACCAGCAAATGCCTTTGCAATGGATGCATAGTAGGTATTTCTGCGACCAGAATCAACTTCCCAGGCAGCCCTTTGGTAAGCCATTCTAGCTAGTTCCACTTTCATTGCCATTTCAGCCAGCATGAAGGACACTGCTTGATGCTATGATTGGTGAAAGAAAAAAGGTTAATATTGCCTACTTAAGAATTCTGTATAGAACATTAAAAGAAAATACAATATATTTAATATTGTTATATCAGAATTGAATTAATTCTATTGCAGATGTATATAGGTGGGGATGGCAGGATATTACAAGTCCAGGAAGGATTTTAAGAGATGAAGAATTAGAAACTACTGAATGACAAGACTGAGTTTTGAGTGATTTGAATTATTCTGTTTCCCTACCTTGTTAGTGGGATCTATATTGCAGCCTACTATTTATTCTAGTTATCACAGAAAATCAGGGTTGGAAGGGGCCTCAGGAGGTCATTTAGTTCAGTCCCTTGCTCAAAGCAGGACCAGCCCCAACGAGATCATTCCAGCCAAGGAGCTTGTGCCCAGGGGGTGGCGGCAGCACAGAGCTCAGCTGGGCAGGGTGTGAGGGAGGGTGGGGGGTATGGGAACTCCCCTCCACAGTCCCCCCATAGTGCGTAGCCCCAACAGGCAACGGTGCAGCAGCAGGCGGGGGTACTTGTGCTTGGTCCTGGTGCCAGCGCTGTGCAGCGAGGAATGCAGCCCCAGCCGGGCTGTCTGTATCCCCGGGGCTCCCTACACAGCCACACCCCCTCACAAACTCTCCT